GTCATTCAAAACAATAACCAAGAATCCAGAAATCATCAAGTAATCCAAATAGTCCTGAGTTATATCTTCTTATTTCTTTTTCAACTTTCTCTTCCTGGGGTTTTTGTTGCGATATTTCAGTTAGAATGTATCTTTTGGAATTCTTGTTGAGATTTTGCTGTAAGTTCTTTTTTAATTCCAGGCAGTCTCCTCCCTTCCAGATCCTGCCCTTTTATTCTTTTTCGCTCCTTTCCTGTTTTCAAAAGCTTTTAATTATCCAGAAATCTTTATTATCCCTTTGACTTTTTATTTTCAGCATTAAATGCCTATTGATGTCAAAGTGGATTTTTTTCCAATTTCTTACTTAAGTCTCTTAGCTGTCAGTACAGGAAAAGGAGAAAAAAACCAATTTTTTCCCCTTTTCCCTCTCCTTTGCAGCTTAAAAATCTTCTTAGGGAACAATGTTATTGTTTTTTAATAGTTTCAATTCCAGGGTACCTTATTTGTTGCTTTTGCTGTTTGACCCAGTCAACCAAAACTTTCTCCTCTTATCTTCCTCCTGCACATTCTTTTCCGGTCGAGTTCTTCTTTGTGTTGGCCATTTCTGACCACTGCTGCAACCGCCTTCGGGAAAGGAAGTAATGGCCAGCTGGGGAGGAGAGATGCGGCTCTCCTCAACCCTGCAGGCAGTCTCCCCCCTCTTCACCACCTCTACAGGGTGGCTTAGCCCCGAAACCAGCCGGCTCGGGGCGCTCCAGCGGCAAGCACGGATTAAAGCCTCGCAGAGACGAGGTTTCGGTCTGTCGCTGAAGAAGCTCAAACCGGAAGTTCCCGTTTTAAATCTCCTTGTAGCTATGCTGGAGGACTAAAGAAATGTAGGACAGGCTCCTTTACTAAACTGTGTGATGATTTTAAATAGCATTTGTATCAATGTTATTATTCAAGCTGGACTTCTGAAGAGTAACGAGCATAAAGCAGATACGCGCTACCTCAAAAACGTGCTTTATGCAAAAGCAGCGATGAACTCCACTTTATGAAAAATCAAGGACAGATACCCCAGAGCTTTGATGCATGCAATCAAAATTTCATTGAAGTAAAGTAGTGTAACTCAATAAAAACTCTTTTTAATACCTCTTCTATAAAGCACTCACATCTTTAATTGAAACTAGATTACTTCCAACAATTCACTCTTTGTATCTCTTCAGCTCTACTCCATTCTGGTAGCTGTTGAGACCTCTGACTATATTTAAATACCTTTGTGAACTCCCCTCCAGCTTGTATTTCATTGGTTTTCTTAGCGCAATCATGACTTAACTCTCTGTGTTACATTTTTACAGGAGTTGGGATGGATGAACAAACATTGTAAGATATATAAAGTTCAAGGAGTCATGGCAAGCAGTAGTTCCTCATGAACTTTGGCTGATCTCAAAAAAATCTAAGTAAAGTTGGACCTGACTATTATTGGGAATGGAGATCCCCTAAAGCCCAGGCTGTAAGCTGGACTGGAATGTTTTCCGAGCACCTCAGATGCAAAGTCTTTTCTATTCTTTTGAGCTCAACTCAAGAGAGCCTGCTGAACTAGTGAATTCTTACCTGGATTGAACTGCTAAGGGACCGAGTGGCATATTTTAAATCAGTTGCCAACTGGTGGGCCACGGCCCACTTGTGGGCCGTGAGAAAATTTTGGTAGGCCGCAGAGAAATCTCACCCCCAGAGCACCCCCCCAAAGCAGTTAATCCAGGCTGCGCAGAAAGACAAGGCTGCACTGCCCACATGGGCCACAGAAACCTTCCCCACCCACTCACTCCTTATCCGGTAAACTTGCCTGCTAAAATGCTATTTTTCCTTTTTCCCACCATCATCTGTTCTGCTGTGCCAGGAGATTTAGATTAGCTGAGAAGGAGGAAATGGATGGATTTCTTGCTTTCTAGCTAGTCTTTAGATCTTCAGCTCAGCACAGCCAAACCTACCTTAGGACTGTAGGTTTGCTTGCAAGCAAATTCAGTGCAGACTCATGGCAAGCAAATTTGAGAGACTGAGCTAGCCGATGGCAGATAGATCACTGAATGCTTCTGTGAGCAACTCAATCTGCCTGCTTTGCCTGATTTTGGGTAAAAGTTGCTCTTTTTTAAAATAAAAAATTCAATATTTACATGCATGGTGTGTTGTGAGTTAATTTTGTGAGTTTGCTTGTTAGCAAATTTTATGAGTTTGCTTGCAAGCAAATTTTATGCGACAGACTGAGCTAGCCAATGGTAGATAGATAGATCTCTGAATGAATCTGTGATTCTGTGAGCAACTCAATCTGCCTGCTTAGCCTGATTTTGGGTAAAAGTTGCTCTTTTTTAAAAAAAAAATTCAATATTTATATAATTATAATATTTACATACAAGCCATGCCCAGCCAGTCACATGACCACCAAGCCACATCCACAAATTAGGCCACACCCACAGAACCAGTTAGTGGTCCCTGGGATCTAAAATTATGAGTTTGGTGGTCCCTGAGGTCCAAAAGATTGGCAACCCCTGTTTTAAATGACTGACAAAAGTATCTTTGCACATGGTTGTGTTGAAGTTTTGTTGCTTGACATTTTTCCTGGCCTGAATGTTTCTATTCAAAGTATTTTTTTCCTGTTAACAATGTTAGCACTTTCCTAATTTGATTAATGTGGACAATTTTTCATAACCTCAAAGACAAACACTGGTCTGATTAAAAGAAGTAGCTTGTCGGTTCCTGTTTCTGCAAAATTCTGTATTTAGACATCAAATAAGCGATGTTGTTTAATGTTCTTGCATATGCACAGAGGAAACCAAACAAAAATCCATTTGTTTCATAACTAATCACCTTTTTCTAAATCAATCTTCTGTGCTGCAAATAAGCTGAACAGCAAAATCTCCCGACAGTTGAACATACTGAGATATGAACAATTCTTTCCTCTTACGTACTGTCTTTCTTTCTGCAAGAATAAACAGAGCTGAATGTCTTTAATTAGAGTGTCCCATTTTACCAAAAACCTTGCAACTCTGAGTACTGATTTCAGAACAGGTCAGGATATTAAACCAAGGTGAAGCCACTTTTAATATGCTAATTTTGTTAGCTATAGTTTCCTGATTTGGGTGGAATACAAAGAGGGTATTAGATAGATCCCGGTATGAAAATTTGCATGAAAAGGGATGTGAACATTTGAAAATTTTGTATGAGGATGTTTGGGCTCATAAAGACTTCTGTATGGCTGTAAGCCAATATTTTTTTCATTGCTACTGCAATCAATTCAATTTTCTCCGATTCTGCTGGCAACGATCACATCAGTGATTTTACATAATTTACATGTAAATAATTTAGACATCAAATGTCCATTGGAGCTGGGCAGCTAATGAATTCAAATAAATAAATATACAATTATTTTTATTGTATAAATCCTATCTTTGATTGTTGCAGCGAGGTGTTAGTTGAATGCAATCACTGAATGTTGAACTCTGTAGGCTTTTGGATTGATCCATTTGAGATCCTTCCTGTACTTAGGAGGCAAGATAGCATTAGTTAAATATACTTCAGCAGAAATCTATAATGAAGAAAAAAACTTTTAATGAGGCATTTAGAAGAAAAAAGGCTTGGAAGTAACGTTTTCCTTGGGCTTGCTATGCACGAAAAAGCTTAGTCCTGATCTACGGTAGGCTTTAGGAGAACATCTCTTCTTTGAACATTAACATGTATTACTTTATCTTCTTTCCAGATATCACAGTAAGTTTGCTGTCCTTGGTGGTCACCGCATGTGGACTTGCTTTGTTTGGGGTATCTCTGTTTGTGTCCTGGAAGCTTTGTTGGGTTCCATGGCGAGAGCGTGGCCTACTAGGCAACAAAGACAAGCAGGAATCCTTGAACTACACAGACACAGAGACCAATGACCAAGACTATAGTGAGGAATTCCTGGGACAGCCAACTACCTACCCTGACGCTTCCATGAAAATTAGCCACACTTCTCCAGACATTCCATTGGACGCTAAGGCAGGGACCAAGGAGAACTGCATGCACAATGTTCGGATGCATCGACAAATCACAGAGCCAACACCTTCTGCTCGGTCAGTACACTGATATCTGTGTCAGGATAATGAAGTAGAAGACTGAAAAGGTCAATTCTTATCTTTCTATATCCTTAATGCCAAGGAGAAATATATGTGGGTAGGGTGGCATTTCCTTCCCTATTGTCTTACATTTCTTTTATTTGATGGGAAGCATCAAAGCAGAGATTCTAAGGATGCTCTTAAGGTGCAGGTTAGAAAATGCCTTGCTTTATCAACTTTAGGAGCTGAGTCTATAATTGGAGATGAAATTTAAAAAAAAAATAGAAATCTGAGCAAAGAGAAATTAAGTATGGAGGTGATAAACAAACTAGATGCTTTTCCCCGGGCTTGAGCAAGATCCTATTCCTAAAAATAAAACAAACAAAAAAAGTAACCTAGCAATAGAAAGACAGTTATAAAAGACAGAGAAAGAAAGACTGAGGAAGAAAAATATGTAGTTTTTACCGAATTAGTCAAAGACAAAGTTGGAAAACCAAAAACAAATGTGTTTTTTTTCCATACAGAATTAGGCACTTGAAAAGATCTAATGAAACTTGCCCATAAATTGTTTGGTCTGTTTTATATCTAGATTAAAACTTAAAAGTATTATCAACAACTTTGACTCCTGAATCTCTTCTATAGGGTCAGTAGCATCCACATGAATTTGCTGCTTTCATTTTTGACCAAAGCAGGATTGATATGTTGCAGTCCATGGAGAAAAGAGTGGTTACCTTTACCACAATGTTCTTGTCATCCACTTGACTCTGCTTGACTCATCCTGCACATGCCTAGTCTATTTGTGTTAAGATTCTTTGTCATTTTAAACATCCCATTCATGGGAAATCACAGGGTATTCTAACTGGGGACTTCTGAATAATGATTTGTCAGACAAATATTATCTGCAATATTTCACTTTTGGGAAGAATTAACTTTTTATTGAATCGCTGGTTAGAAAAAAAATAAAATAAGCTTCTAGTGCAGGGTCTCCTTCTTTCTCTCTCTTTATGCACTATAGCTGCCTTTAGACACAACCATCTTTTTTTTTAACAAAGAATTTGAATTGAAAATTAGATCCATAGAAATGAAAGGGTAGAAAGAAGGTTAGAAAAACACTTCTAATTCTAGCAAAAATCTTCTAATTTTTCAGAGAGGATTTAAAACTGTCACCAAAATCAATCTGCAATCATTTTTTCCCCAAAAGTATGTGCAATGTGACCAGATGTGTAGCATAACAATAGCATTTTAGGCTCATAGTATTTTACAGTGCTCTCTGGGAAGTTTACAATGTAAGCATTATTTGAATATTGCCCTCAACAATCTGGGTCCTCATTTTACCAACCTCAGAAGGATGGAAGCCTGAGTCTACCTTGAACACCACCAGATCAAACTTCAGGCTGTGGGTAGAGTTTGCCTGTAATACTGCACTTTAATCACTGCGCCACCAGGGCTCATGTTTATGGGACTGTATCATCTGCCCCAAAATGGGCAGAGCAAATTAAATAGCTTATGAACTATATCATTCCTTTTATAAAATTAGTTGAAGCTGCATACATTCATGTAAACCAGTTCTGTCAAACTGGCAGCCCATGGGCCAGATACGGCCCACGCAGGCCACACCCACCCCAGCTCCACAAAGGTAAAAAACATCGTGATACGGCACGATATAGCCAGGGGTGGGATCCGATAGGGTTAACTACCAGTTCAGTGATTTACGAGGTTCGGTGATTTACGATGTGCTTCCCTGCACGCTGCCAGCCCGCGCCTGTAAATCATCATCAGCACGCTGCATGCAGAGAAGCAGTCTTTGAAAAAGCCCTTTTTTCCTGCTTTTTAAACTGCAGCTGTGCCTCGCACGGCAGCTGAAGTTGAAAAAAATCAGGAAATAAAGGTCAGGTAAGAGCCTGGGTGGGCAGGTGGGCAAAAACATCAGCAGACATAGAACTGTGCATAATACCACAGAGCAAGAGACAGATCTGTTTATCTTGGTTCAATGTCACTGCACATGAAGTGGTGTAGAAACACAATAAATTATTTTATACATTGTTCACAACAAAAAATGGGTTAATAGAAGCCTTAACACTAGTATCCAAGCATAAGGGAACATACTCAAGCCTTAATTGGTAGTTAATCATATAGAATTCAATGAGTCCTACACCCAGGCAAGTATATTTAGGACCTGTTGAGTCAGAATGGGAGCCTTTTTCTGCTCTTCATTCATTCATTTAAAACATATAGCTGCCCATCTTTCAGACAATCCTGGGTGGGTCTCAGTAAAATCATATAAATTTTGTAGAGGCTTTCTACTAATTTCAGTATTTTGGTTTTATTCATTAGCATGGAAAGCCTCCATTGATGGGAGGAAGAGTTCCACCGGAAATAGTCATAAATGCAATACTAAAGAGTCTTAAAGATCCACCTCACTTGGTTGTTCATGAAGACAGGAATGTTGTTATACTTATTATAAATTAATAAAGCAGGGTTATTGTTAAAAAAAATGGAATAAATGAATGAATACACTTAAAATGTTCTTCTTTTAGTTTGTAATGTGTAGGAAAGGAATGCAGCATTGATTGATGCTCACACATGAAAAGTCACCTTGCTGCAAGAATTTAGGGACCCTGGAAGCAAACTTGATCAACAAAACAAAATGTGTGTGTGTGTGTGTGTTGCAGGAACAATCTTCCATTTACAGGCCATGTATAGCAAGAGCCATTTTCTAAACCAGATAAAATTGCCAACTGTAGTATGTGAAAGCCGTCCCAATTTAATCTTGCAAAGTATGCTCATTTGCACTTATCTCTGCTGCGGTGAGTCCTGATGCATCTCTGCAAAGATGTCAGCAAAAATAGAACAGGTTAATAAAACACTTCTGAGAGTAAGAAATGGGAAGTGTTAGGTTTTAGCCACAGCTTTGATTGAGTGGGAAGCATGTGAAGTCACCAAGGGGGACTGACTGAATATCAAGGGGATCATCACAAAAAGGTGGGAGCATTAATGGCAGTGGGCAGAACCAAGAGAAACATTATCCAGGCTATATAAAACTTGTGTCTGGATTGTTATATTGCTGAAAATGACCAATCCCAAAGCTAATGAGACATGGCAAATAGGATTATGCCCAGCGTTCAAAAGGAGTGCTTCGTAAAGCACATTTACATTACATTTACGTGCAAGCCCATTTTCTTGAAGCATTATGGCCACAACATCCTCTGATAGGATTGTAATGGCTTGGATGGCTGCTTCAACTGCGTGGACATGTACCTGAGACCCCCAGGGAAGCAACTATCCATGTACCCACAGGCTTTTGAAGTGCTTACAGTGAATTGCAGAGGATTCAGGGAGCTGTTTAACCTTCAAGGAGGGGTGCATTGTTCACACTAATATACTATACAGATAGTCCTTGGCTTATGTCCGGTCACTTAGTGACCATTCAAAGTTATGGTGGACCTTCTAAAACAGGGGTCCCTAATTCCCGGTCCATGAACCGACATGGGCTGTGGCATGCCAGAAACCGGGCCACACAAACAAGCGAAGCCTCATCTACAGGATGCAGGCAGCATGCGAAACCACGCCTTCTCCGGCCCATAGAAAAAACTGTCCATGGAATCAGTCCTTGTGCCGAAAAGGTTGGGGGCCACTGCTCTAAAAGGTACGTACAATGAAGTTCAATAGTCCAGGGATGACTGCTCCCCTGCAGTCACGTATTTTGGGTGCTTGGCAGCTAGACCATAGGTATGGCTGTTAGCAACATTCTGTGGTCGCATGGCCAATTTAAAGACTGCCTCATTTGACGACTGCCACAAAAAAAGGTGATGAAATTGAATCATTCACATGATGACCAGCATCAGGATTATCTTGATTTATGTCTATAATGGGCAGTCTCCATTATGGTCATAAGTAGAAGACTACCTGTGTGAAGTGTGGCAACTTTAAAACAGGCATATCCTGACAAAGTGCTCCTTTCAAATGCTTTGCATGGCCTGATAGATACACAACAGAAAAGCTGTTTGCCTCCATTTACATTAATAAAAGGTGCACCAGCTGCCTCTGCAAAATGAAGTATTCTTATAAACTCTCCAAAGTACCACCATTGATACCATAATGGTGGATGATAATCCGTTGTGACATAATCTGTCATACATTTATCTCACCCAGTTAATTTGGTGCTTAGACCATACCTTGTAGCAATGAAATCCTGCAAATTACGATAGTTACTAGTATTCATCAATTTCCTGAATCTGCTAATTTTTTCCAACTATGATTCCAGAATCCTTTTCTTTCTTTTTTCTTTCTTTTTTTTTTCTTTTTCGTGGTCTAGGGCCTTATTTCTGGGTTTGCTAATTTGATGCCCATTTATCAAAGAAGAAGCATGATCTTTTTGCAGTCAGTTAAGTGCAAAGATGGTTTGATGATAGTAAAAATACTAACTTAACCTTAACTCATTACCTCCAGTATATTTTTAGTGCTGGGTGAGGAGTTTTGCGTCCTAGTATTCAGGAGTTTATTATACTTGAAAAAGGGTTATGCGTAGTGTAGAGAGATTTGGCTGTGAACTATTGGCTATTTTGGACAACATTCTGAGGCAGGTCAAATAAGGAAAAAGTTATAAATGTCGTTTTCTGATGATATTATGTTTTGATACTTTAAGGCAGGAACTTGAAGGATTGAGGTGGGGCAAAGAAACATATATATTTTTCAGAAGCTTCCCCAAAGTTGAAAATCCCATTAGTCTGTGTTACTCCATTTTACATAAGAAGGCTGCAGTCCTACTGCATTTATTTCTCAAAATAAATCTCACTAAGCTCAATTGGAGTATCATTTTAATAATCATGTTTAGGATTTTACTGTGCAAATAGCAATGTATCCTAACATTCAAAAAAGGAGGAAAAAGTATTTTTACAGGTGGCATTGTATCAGCTAGGGGAGGAGGAAAGGATGTTGCAGTGAACCTTTCTGGTGATGTTTGTATGTCTGTGTGTGATTTTATTGTTTAACAACCTGTAAATGAGGATGCAGCACGATAATACCCACTAGAAAACAAAATCAGTTTTGTGCGCATTATGAGACGCTGAAGTACTCATATCCCTGTTTCTTTTTCTGAAATCTTGGCAGGTATGATTTATTTATGACTGCTTTCTTTTGTTTATCTTGTTGCTTTTGACTTCTAGCAAATTTTACAACTGGATTGTCTCTCCTCCGCCTGCTGGAAAGATGACTGGTACAGGAAAAACTGAACAAAAGAACATTTCTTTGCTATTTTTCAGCATTTAAAAAAAAATAATTTATGATGTCTTACCCTGAGATTCTTTAATAGAAGTTTGGGGGATATTCTGAAAATTATCTTAGAAAGTAGGGCCATAATTACAAGATACTCTGTGTTCTAGAAGGTTGGTCAATGAATTAATATGGTTCCTGCTGGATTCTCTTCCGAACATCAGACATTCCAAGTGCAATTTGTAGATGAGTTTACCTGCAAATGTTCTTTTGCATAATTTTTTACTCTTCAGTTTGGCAGTCATTCAAATGTACAAGGATTCACCCCACTGCCAATAACAGTGCAAGTATAAACTGGAACCATCAGGAACGTTCCCAACATATTTTTTTAATTATTATTTTCCCTTTTTGTAAGATACATTTGTGCTGTAATTTCTTACGTTACTGAGAGTAGAGTAAAGGTAGGAGGCAGTGGCATATTTGATCATTGAAGCAACTCATTTTGAAATTGCCCTTCAGTGTCAATAGCCAATTTGGTGTAGTGGTTAAAGCAGGGCTGTCAAACTCATGTTGTCACAGCATCGTCATGTGACGTATCAGGACTTCCCCCCCCCCCCTTCGCTAATCTGAGCGTGGATATGGCCAGGGTGTGATGCATCTGGCCCATGGGCCAGGAGTTTGACAACCCTGGGTTTAAGCATCAGATTAGGAGACTGTGAATTCTATTCTTCCATCAGCCACAAAGTCAACTGGGTGGAATTGGGCCAGTCCTCTCAGCCGTAGAAGGAGGAACTGGCAAACCACTTCTGAAAAATGCAGTCAAGAAAGATGCAGGAGGCCATCGCCACAAGCCAAAACTGACATGAAGGCACTATTTTCCCCCTCCATTGTTGCTCCTCGGCCAACATGAACCTCCGCCAACATGGCAGTAGCAACTGGACTCCATACCCACCACCAGTGCCTACGCCAGTGAGGAATGCCCCTTCCCACTCTCTACAGTTAGTTCTCCACTTACAACAATTCATTTACTGACCGTTCAAAGTTACAGTGGCACTGAAAAAAAAGTAACTTATGACAATTTGTCACACTTATGACCATTGCAGCATCCCCATGGATCATGCAATCAAAATCCAGGCGCTTGGCAACTGACATGTATTTATGACGGTTGCAGTGTCTCGGGGTCATGTGACCTTCTGACCTTTTGTGACCTTTTTGTGACCTTCTGACACGCAAAGTCAAGGGGAAGCCAGATTATCTTGATAACCCTGTTACTAACTTAACAACTGCAGTGATTCACTTAACAACTGTGGCAGGAAATGTTGTAAAACGGGGCAAAACTCCCTTAAATATTTCACCTAGTAACAAAAATTTTGGGCTCCATTGTGGTCATAAATTGAGGACTATCTGTACCTCACTGATTTAAGCCACCCAAATAATCTGTGCCATTGATCCAACTGGTTGTTTTACATATATTTAGCCCATGTGTGAATCATGGGGAAAATGTTCTCCAAACTGATTCTAATTCTGCTTAGAAATAGAGACCCTCATCTCAAATATTGCAATCTTGCAAGCAATCCCAAATATAAGAATAATCAAGTGTTAGTTCCAAGCCAGCAGAACAGGAAATATTATTTCTGTTATCAGCAAGGCTTATGATTCCTTCTCAAATTCCATACCTATTGAATCTCTGAATATTGTGATATCTTTAAGATTTGTATTCAGATATCCTAAATGTCAGGACATTAATTGGCATGTCTCCTTTTTACATGTTATATACATTAGGTGTAATGAAATATTATATGATTTGTGCACAGTATAGCTTTTTGGGGGGAGATTTCTACATTTAGCATAACATTTTTTTTAAATTAAAAAAAAAATGATGCCTGATCATACAAAGAGCAGGAAAATTAAAAAGTAACTGAGGTTAATCTGATTGGATGATTTGTAGCTGGAGAAATCAACACACCAAAATGTTTCTGTAATAGCCCGATTGATAGAAGTGGCCAGGCTCCAAAAGCTACCCCAAAGCCTAGCAGTCTTTTTTAAAAGCTAAAGGGGAAATAGGAATTCCCTTAGGAAACTCAAAATATTAGTTACTATGGTAGTCAAAACAGGGGCCATCTGGACTGTTTGCAAATTATTGAAATGCACCAATTCAATAACCTTCCAAAACAATTGTTATAGTTTCTGTGAGTGAGAGGGAATCTCTCTCTCTCTCTCTTTCTCTCTCCCCTCCCTCCCTCTCTCCTCACTCCCACTCCCATTCTCCCTCTCCCCCAATAAAGTATTCTACTGTTGGCCAATAATCACACTTGGCCAATAAAGCGTTCTGTTCCGTTCTGTTCTTCTCTCTTTATAATAGTTGTTTTTTTTAATTACAGAGCAAGAAATAAATGCAATCAATCAACCAATCAATATATTTTGCTTTAATTTAAGGCACAATTCAATACGAAGACAGCTCAATCTCTCAAATCCTGACTTCAACATCCAACAGATCCAGAAGCAGGAACAGCTGACGGGCATCGGACGCATCAAGCCAGAGCTATATAAGCAAAGATCAGTAGACACCGATGATGGTCGGAGAAATAATAGCAAGTCTTGTGGGAAAATCAATTTCATTGTAAAATATGATTGTGACTTAGAACAACTTATAGTGAAGATTCACAAAGCTGTCAGCCTGCCAGCAAAGGATTTTTCTGGAACTTCAGACCCTTATGTCAAGATCTACTTACTTCCAGATAGGAAAACAAAACATCAGACTAAAGTACATAGAAAAACTCTTAACCCAGTATTTGATGAAGTTTTTTTATTTCCTGTTCCTTACAAAGATTTGAGTTCAAGAAAACTTCATTTTTCTGTCTATGACTTTGACCGCTTCTCCAGGCATGACTTGATTGGCCAAGTGATAGTGGATAATTTTTTAGAGTTATCTGACTTTCCTAGGGAATGTAATATTTGGAAGGATATTGAATATGTCACAAATGTAAGTATATCCTTTTTTTATTCTGAAATTCACTATTTTATTACATCTCTTTTGCAAACCAAATGGAAAACAATCCAGGATACATCAACCTAGTGCAAACCTCAGTAATAAGTGTATTATTCATACAGGAATTACTTTCTTATTACAAATATATTTGTCCCTTACAGGTAATCCTCAATGTATGACCACAATTTAGCAGAACATTTCTGTTGCTAAGCGAGACAGTGGTTAAGTGAAATTTGTCCCATTTTGTGACCTTTCTTGCCACAGTTCTTAAGTGAATCACTGTAGTTGTTAACTTAGTAATACAGTTGTTAAGTGAATCTGACTTTCCATTGACTTTGTTTATCAGAAGGTCACAAAAGGTGATCATGTGACCACAGGACACTGCAACTATCATAAATATGAGTCAATTGCCAAACATCTTGTCAAGTGGTACTCCATTCAAAATCCAAGAAAGACACTCTTAGACTCCATTAATATAGAGAAAAGAACTTTTACTGGAAATCAAGTGGTAGCATCAAAGGAATTCTAAATCTGAGGATTTACGCGCTACAAAGTGATGGCAATGTTCCCACCCACAATAGTTCAAACTGTCCATCCAATCGAAGATGTGTATAATGTCATGTGGGTCATCTTCAGGTGGTGATGCAGACATCTGGCTGTTGACCGTGGCCAATTTTGATAAAGTCTCACAGTTGCACAGTAAGCAAGCAAATAAGCATAAGCAATAAAGTTTTTTCCCCAAGTTATACAGTTCATTCTTCAACACATCCAGCACATTCCCCACACCCACAAAGACCAATACTTTCCCCTCCCCCCATTACTATGGCAGCCGAAAGATGCAAAGGAAAGGAAAGGAATCTTGACGGCTGACATTCGGCCTTCCTGCAAAAGAGGCATTAGCCCTAAAAGAGAAGAAAAAATGCAAGATAATATAATAATATACATTTCATAAACAATACAAAACTTAAGGTTTGTCAGGATGTTTCGCTCGAAATGAACGAAAGATCTCGTTCATGAACATCTCGTTCATTTACCCATTCTGACTGAGAAGGGGGGAAATGCTTCCAAACAACCAAATATTGGAGTCGACCTCTTTGTTTTCTTGAGTCCAAAATTTCTTTACCCTCAAAATGTTGTTCACCCTCAATCAACAGAGGTACCGGAGGATTGACCTGAGCAGGTCTCAAGTCATATGTATGTTCAGGTTTTAATAAACTAACATGAAAAACAGGGTGAATCTGCCTAAGGGTCTTAGATAATTGCAATTGGACTGTCACAGGATTCACTATTTGTTCAATTGGGAAAGGTCCAACATTTTTAGGTCCCCATTTTTTAGACTTTTATGTACTTTGTAAATATCTAGTGGACAAGAAAACTTTGTCCCCTACTTGATATTGTATTTGTGGAGCTCTCTTTTTATCAGCTTGTTTCTTATGTGCTTTATGAGCGTCCAATGCTTTATGGCTAACCAGCCAGGTAAGCTGGAGTTGGGTTATCCACTCACTTAATGATGGAACATTGGGTTTCTCCTGTGGAAGTTCGGGTATGAGTACAAAGTCTTGCCCCGAAGCTACTTTAAATGGGGTAAAACCAGTACTATTGTGAACTGAGTTGTTATATGCTACCTCTGCAAACAGTAAGAGGTCCGACCAATCATCTTGTTGATAATTTATGAAGCATCTAAGATATTGCTCCAATACTGAGTTAGTTCTCTCACAAGCCTCATTGGTTTGTGGGTGATGGGCTGAGCTTAAGTCTTGGGCAGAGCCTAATAACTTCAGGAATGCTTTCCAAAAGTTCGATGTGAATTGGACACCTCTATCTGAAATTATTCGTTCAGGAATACCATGCAACCTATAAACATGTAAAATAAACATTTTAGTCAAGTTTTTTGCCGATGGGATTTTTGCACAAGGTATGAAATGTACTTGTTTGGAAAACAAGTCCATTACCACCCAAATAATTGTATGTCCCCCACTTTCAGGTAATTCTACTATAAAGTCCATAGAAATTTCTTTCCATGGAGCAGTCAGCCTGGCTACATTCTGTAATAAGCCAGCCAGTTTGTGGCCATTTGGCCGAAGCGCAAATAGGACAACTAGCCATGTAAGCTTCAATGTCCTTTTTTAAAGTAGGCCACCCAAATTGCCGTTTAACCAAATGTAGGGTTTTTACAAACCCAAAATGTCCAGCAGCTTTTGAATCGTGAGCTTGTTTTAAAATGGAGATTCTCAACTTTGCTGGCACGTGCAATTTGGCCTCCACCCGTGCTAATCCATCTCTAACCGTACAGTCATTTGAGTGGGTCAGGAACCAATCATCTAGTTTTAAAGCTTTTAACTGTGCAGACAAATCTTTTGACAGATCAACATCTCCCTTTCTCTGGGCTCTAGTAACCATTGGAGCTGCTAATTGTTTAGTCAGGACAATGGGGCAGATCATTTCCGGGTGGACACTATTATATTGAGGTAAGCTAGACAGTGCATCCGCCCTAAAGTTCTCCCCCCTCCCCCTGGAATGCACTTCAATGAGAAATTAAACTGTTTGAAGTACTGTGCCCAGCATACTTGCTTAGGCAACAATTTTTTGAGGCGTTTTTAGAGCCTTTAAGTTTTTATGATCTGTCCACATCTCAAAAGGATGTTTTGCCCCCTCAAGAAAATGCCTCCAGGTTAATAGAGCCCAACGGACAGCAAAAGCTTCCTTTTCCCAAATGGCCCATCTTCTTTCCATCTTGGTTAGTTTACAGGAGGTGTATGCACACAGTTGCAGAGTTCCTGCCTTATTTGCTTATAGTAACACTGCCCCCACTGCTATATCACTCGCATCAGCTTGGATTATGAAAGGGGCGTCCATGTCCGAGTTCTTTAGCACTAATTCAGCTGCAAAAAGTCATTTTAACTTTTCAAAAGCAGCTTGGCACTCCATAGATCACTCCAGTGGTTGACTGGGTGGACTTTGATCACGTCACCAGAGGGATGGTGCAATGGTTGTAAGTATGAAAAACAGTCATAAATCACTCTTTCCTGTGCTATTCTAAGTTCAAACAGTCGCTAAATGAACTGTTGTAAAGTTGAGGACTACCTGTATTTCTGAACTCCCCTTCTAAATATTAGAAGTCTGTGGAGATCACCTGATCACTCATGGGGCCTAAATCAGAGATCAGAGAAGAGCCCAACTTATTCCTGATAATTTTGAAGATAATTTAATCTGACTCAATATTTCAGCAGTATTAACATTTGCCATGGCTACAGTAAGAGTACAATTATGAAGAATATTGTACTCATCTTATTTATTTTTTATTTTATTTATTTATTTGTCGAGCATGTATTAGATAACAGATATGAGTATAAACATGATTATTAATACATGAAATGGATAAGAATAAAAGGGAACATTAGGACAGGGACGGTAGGAATGTTCGTGCGCTTATGCTTATATTCCCATAGTATAGCTGTGTTCCTTTCCTAAAATAATAGGTTTACATTAACTGTATATAGGAACTGTATATAGGAACAAAGTTTTCCAAATTTCATTGAAAGCGATGCAGTATTCATCCCATTACACTCTTTTAAAATATTTTCAAAAAACTGTTGTATATGGGAAGATATTGACAAATGTATCTTTTCTTTTATGTATACAGAGAGCATTTGCACCAAGACAAATTCCTTGTGTGTCCAATCACACTTGGCCAATAAAGAATTCTAATTCTAATATAATTCACTTTATAACCATTTAGTTTGCAAGGTTCACTCGGACTTGATGGCCGTTGAATCCAATACTCCTCCTTGATATCATGACACTTTGTATAAAATCTCAGAGTTGGAACAGAGGAGGCAGACTCACAATTTTGCTCTTCTGAAAATATTTTTTAAATTATTTTGCTTTTTGTTGTATTGCAGGTTTTTGAGCCATACAAATATAAGTAATAAAATAAATAAAAGTCAGTGCAAATCCCTATAAAGTTCTATGCTTATTATCTTGGATTTCCTGACAATAGATGCTATTTTACAAATGATGATAATTATTTAGACATTAATAGATTTCTGCAGACTTTGTTTCTGAATTCATGAAACTTCAGCATTCGTTTCCCCAAACTTTCTAGAATCCATCTTGAGTTTATAACCTAAGGAGCCAAAGTGTATTTCTCTTAACTTTTTTGAAGCTCTGTAAGCCCTTTTACACATGCGTTCCACAATTGATATTAATATCTGCTAGTTTGGTCCCTTTTCAATTGTTAAGAAAGGAAAACCACACATTTATTTGCCATTTATTGTAGGGAGCCACAAAGATGATCTTGGGAAAGCTAGGCAGAAGGAGTGATGGTTACAAAAACAAAATTATATGTTAAGTTCAAGCAATAATTCAAATATGAGAAAGAACCTCGAATTGATTCCTTTCTAATTCTTTATAAGAGATATGGAGGAGAGAACTCAAATCAGGCTTTCAAGATTCTATTATTATAGTATGTTTCTATACAGTCTGTGTCACGTTTGTGAGGATTGTTTCCTGACCTAGCCTATGTCTAAGGGATGAATATAGGTGGTTCAGGAAATATAAGTTATTTCTGAAGCTTTCTTCCTTTCTTTCAGTGTGATATGTGTGATATTGCTATATTCAGAAAGATATTGCAATGCTCTCAAGAAGTTGATTTCAGACAAAAAAGGAGGAAAAACAATAGGAAGAGGACTTTGAGAATCATACTAGAAAAGGAAGGAGGGAGGGAAGAGGACTTTGAGAATCATACTGGAAAAGGAAGGAGGGAGGGATCTGGGAAACTTTAAGCCTGTCAGTTTGATGTCTACACTGGGCAAGGTATCTGTGAGCACTTGGAAAGGCATGCTACTAATAACAAAAGCATGGGCATGATCAAATAAATCATGCTAAGGTAAAGGTCAGGCAGGGGTGGGATTCAAATTTTTTAACAACCAGTTATGTGGGCATGGCTTAGTTGGTGGGTGGGCTTGGTGGACATGTGACTGGGTGGACATGAC